TCATGAGGTAGGTATTCTTATTTCCCCCCACCCTACACCTAAGGAAACTGAGGCCCAAATAGCCAAGATCACTTGCCCAAAGTCACACAGCTAGGAAGTGGCAGCCTCAAGACTTGAACCAGGGTCACTCTGGTGGCAGAGCCCCATGCTCTCAGTATCAGACTAGGCCACGCCTGGAGCTGGATGGGAGATCTGATAGCCATTTTCCCCTCTCTACCTATCCCTACAAGGTTTTGGCTTATGGTAGCACCAGCTGGCATTTACTAAACCCCTCAGACCATTCAAGGAGACCATTCATGGCCAAGACAAGAGACAAGGCAGCCTAGGATTCAAACATGGCTGGGCATCATCTATATTCCAGACTCCAAAGGTAACACTTGGAAGAGGCTTGAAGAAAATACAAGAGAAGTTCAAGGAGGGGACACAGGAACCTTCCTTCCCCCATCTCGGGAGCTGTTCAGTGGCGAACCCCACTGGGCCTGCTGAGGATCTGCTCTGCCTTTAGGAGAAAGCAGCTTTCTCCCCATATTCCCCCATCTGAAGTTCCCAAGATGACTCTTATGGGGGCTATGCCTTCTTTGTGATTGGGCGCTGGGCCCAGACAGTTCTTGGCCAGCAGCAGCTGGGCCCTCACACCTGTTGGTCTAGCTCCCCTGCTTCACAAATACACGCCCCTGCCGAGCTTGGTGCTGCTTCCAGATGGCCGGTCACTTACGCTTTCACCCTACCTTGGGCCTTTTTCTTTCTCATTTGATTTCTTTTCCTTACCTTGTTTTCTTCCCAGGCGCCTGCATATTCTTTCTCTCTGCGTCTCTTTGTCTTTCTCTCTCTCTCTCTCTCTCTCTCTCTCTCTCTCTCTCTCTGTGTGTGTGTGTGTGTGTGTATGTGTGCCTCTCTCTCATTACTTTTTTTCCCCTCTCTCTCACTCATTCTTCTTCCTTTCTCCATTGAAATACCAGTGCTGGCTCTCTCCTCTCTAACAGTGAGTGAGAAGTTCAGATAAGGTCATCTCTCCAGTCCCCACCAGTTCTGATATTCATTTTTGAGGAAAGGCAGCGAGAACCTTGGAGGTGGGAGGGGTGGCACATATATAGAGAGTGAAAAAAGAGAGATCAAACCAGGCAGAACTGGATTCAAATCCCAGCATCCTTACTTGCTAGCTGTGTGACCTCAGCAAGGCCACCTCACTTCTCTGAGCCTCCTTCCTTCATCCATAAAATGAGATTGACAATAATAGCAACAACCTTCCATGGGGTGAGGAAGGGACGTGAGAATTGACCTTGCTCATGGCGGGGAAAGGACTTTATGAACTATAAGAGGCAAGTCCTTATGGGTGTTACTTAGGAGGCAGTGAGGCCCTGTGGTCACTAGCAATAGCTCTGAGGCCAGTTGGCCTCATTAGAATCCTCAGCCTAAAACATACAGGGTATATAAACTTGGCAAGCTGCCTAACATCTCTGTGCCTCAATCTCCCTATCAGTAAAATAGGGATGAGATAATAATAGTACTCACCCTATATCTTGGGTTGTTGTGAGGATTCAATGAGAGAATAAGTACGGAGCACTAAAAACAGTGAGAAGGCTGGGCATGGTGGCTCATGGCCTGTAGACCCAGCAATTTGGGAGGCTGAGGCAAGAGGATCGTTTGAGCCCAGGAGTCTGAGACCAGCCCGGGCAAAATAGTAAGACCTCGTCTTTATAAAAAATAAAAAAATTAGCTGGGTATGGTTGTGTGTGCCTGCAGTTCCAGCTACTTGGGGAGGCAGAGGCAGGAGGATTGCCTGAGCCCAGGAGGCCGAGACTGCGATGGCCATGAGCATACCACTGCACTCCAGTCTGGGCAACAGAGTAAGACTCCAACTCGAAAAGACAAACAAACAAAAACAGCGAGGATCTGTCACCTAATAAGTGCTCAGTGATTACTCAGAGCTAGTAGGAATAATATCCCTTAAGGTGGTGTACTTAGGGGTGCTGGGCCACTGCAGGAACCTAAGCCATGTGATGATCCAGACTCATCTCTCTGCAGAGCTTCAAAGCCTGCTTGTGCAGGTTGTCCCCTGAAATTCAGTTTGTGTTTCTATGACAAAGTCATGGGCCCGGGGTGAGGGTTGTGCAAAGCCCAGAGGAAGCAGCACCTGTTTCTAATTGCTTCTCCCAGAGGGGGCGCCTTTTTGTAATTAGTCCAAGGAGACTGTATGTGCTAGCTGAGGCACTGTTTCTGTGTCTAGGCAGGAGAGGGACCTTGGGTAACTAGGCCTGTGGTCCTGTCTGCTTACCTGGCAGCGAAGTCTGCACTCTGACCCCTGAGATACCCCAGATCCTCAATCCATCTCCAGCTCTGATTGCTGATCCCCAAGTCTCTGTGTTCATGGGAAGCCATAGAAATCTTTCCAGTCCCCCAGGTGATGCATGTGGAGTTCATCCTGCCCATGCTCACTCAGCGGTGTTAGAAGTAAGAGAAGCAATAGGGGTTAGTGGTCCAAGCTGGAAGAGTTCTCCATGCCATCAGAGACTCTGATTGAAGGCAAAGTGGGGGTCCATGGATGAATGGAAGTGTGAGGCCTCGACTGAAATTGGATTGGGAGCCTAGGAGGGCAAAGTCCCAAAAAGGGGAATGCAGGGAAATGCTCCTGGCTTGGAGATGAGACTAGGGGCAAAGGGCTGTCACATCATCTCAGAGCTTAGGTAAAGGGAGCAGTTTCAGCCTGCTGCTGCAGGGAGCAGGACTAGACTGAAGTGACCTCACCTTTTTAAGGATGAAATAAGCTGAGAGACACTGTGCTGGCCTAAGAATGGCATGTGGCTGAAAAGAGAGTGCAAATAAGACCCCAAAGGCTTGTGTTCTAGAAGCTGAAGTGAAACCGGGGAAGTCCTGGCATGCTTCAGACCTAGCCAAAATGTACTTAGCAAAGTGAGATGAGGCCCCTGTCACTCCCTGGCATAGAGAAATTTATGGACTGAGATCCCCTCACACTACCCCTTAGGGATTTAAAGCACATGTCCATGATTGTGCTGGGTTGGAGGGGCTAGGGAGGGGAGAGGAATGGAGAGCTGCAGGGAAAAGCCAGCATCTCCCAGGCCCTGAGGAGAAAACCCCTCTCTATGCCTTGGAGAGAGGCAGGGGAAAGTTCCCCACAGTTTGGCCGAAAGTCATCCTGCCGATTGCTCTTTTTTGACACAACCTCACTTTCTTTCCAGTCCTATATTCCTGGCTGTGTGCAAACTATTTCCACTTGGATGTTCTGCCAACAGCTTAAACTAAACATGCTTAAAGCAGAGTTTCTCTTCCCCCACAAAGCCTCACACCTTCCCAAGGCCTCCAGCCTCACTGCTGACACCCGAACAGCCCGAGGCCAGGCCTGCCTGGCTTCTTCTCTTTCTCCCCCACCCAATACCTCTCTTCCTCCCTGCCTTTGAACTTTGGGCTTTTCCCTGGGTGACAAATTTTCAGAATCATCTTTGCCATCTCCCAGGTTACCACCTCTCCCCCTTGCACCTCATCCCTAGAGATTGTTGCCCTAGCTCCTAACTGGGCTCCTCACTCAGGAGCTCTCCTTTGACCTGGGCCACGCATCTTCTGGCCACATGTATTGACCATTTACTGCAATGGGTATTGCACAGCATCCACTCTAGAAAAAAGAAAAGCACAGACACAGATAGCAGATGAGCAGGTAACCTAGTGGGGAGAGTGTGGCCTCAGGAGTGAGTCAGACCTGGCAGTAAATCTCAGCTCTGCCACTTACTAGCTGTGCCATCTGGGGCTTATTTCACGTCTCTGTGCCTCGATGCCCTTCTCTCTAAAGTAGGGATGATAGTGTTTACTTGCTAGGGTTCTTATGATGCTGAATGCTAGAAGGGAGCAAGGAAAAGGGACATACATTGGAACGACATCCCTGAAGACTGGAATGGGCAGAGCTGTGAAGACAGTCTCTAGGGATTCAAGAGGCTGGGTGGCCCAAGCCGTTTGTATATTTGCGGTTTTCCGTTATGCATAAATAACAGGAAATCAAGTAGGGAATCAATTCAACTGGACCCAATTCTTGGCCCTTTCCAAAATTCCCTCAACCCCTGTGTAAACAGGAAACAGGGCTTGAGTCTACAAAGCTGATTGGGGTGCCCGAGGATGCCCCATTATCTCTCTGCTCTCTTCTCAATCTTCTATTTCTCAAGGCCCTTTCCACGTCTTCTTCATCTTCTTCTTTTCTTTTTTAAACACAGGAGCAAAAGTGAGTGCTTGTCCAAGCCCGCTGGCCTGGGTCAGAAGAATGCGGCCGCTCCCTCCACACGGGGCAGCCAGGCCCAGGCTCTCACTCAGGCTGGCAGCCACAGGCGCAGAGCCGGGAAGGCTCCAGCACCTTGCTCTGAGGGGCTGGAAAGCGCTACAGACGTTAGCTCATCACTCCCTGGCAGGGGCCAACCCGTCTGCTATTCTCACTAGCATCTTCCAGATGGGGAAATGGAGGCACAGGCACACTTGGATTGGTTGCAGACTCACAGGATCCTAAGGGGGCTTCTGGGCAGGGTCTCCACAGGAAGCAAGGGGACAGGGGCCACTCAGACTTCTCCAAATGGATTTCTATACCTTGCCACTGTGCAGGAAAAGGGGGTAATAGGAAAGAACTATGGTCCAGGCTGAAGAATCTGAAGGAGGCACCAGGAAATGTAGGGGGAGGGGTGGCTAGGACCCACCATCTCCTGGGACCTCACACATGAAGGGCCCCCCAAATAGTTGCAGCCTCACTCAATAGCCCATCAGGAATGACTAACCACTCTTGCCGCAAAGATGTTTGCAGCACACAAGCACACAATACTTCTGGAGTAAGAGGCCACTGAGATGAAGTCTGCATGGCCAGACACTAGAGGGTTAACTCTGATGCAGTCTGGTTGATTATTATGTTTTCCTCCTGGTGCTTTTCTGTTACTTGCAAATTCTATGCAGTGAACAATTACAACATTTATAATCAGACACAATGTTAATTATTTTTTGTTATTTTTAAAAAGCAGCAGCAACTGGAATATGCTGAAGAGCCCTGGGCTTGGAGTGAGGAAACTGGGGTCACGCCCACTGTCAAACCTCCCACTGGAACCTCCCACTATTGAACTCTCCCACTGTCAACCTGGGGCAAATGACTCTGCTTCTTTAAATCTTAGTTTTCTCTGAAATGGAGATCATTGATCCCACAGAGGTGGCATAAGATTAAAAGAGATAAAGTATGTGAAAAAAATGCTTTTTAAAAATATTATTATGGAATTTTTAAAGCATATACATAAGTAAAGAACACACAGCAATGAAGTCTCATGCACCCATCCTCAACAATTACCATCTTATTTCATCTGTATCCCCATCTACTTTTCCCCCACTCCCACTGGAATATTTTAAAGCAAATCCCAGGTATGCTCTTTTTTCGTAAAACTTCAATATTGAAATGCATTATACTTTTTTCACAATTAAAAAATAATACATGTTGACTGTAGAAAATTTGGAACATGAAGAAATCATGTATAAAGGAGGAAACAAAAATCACCCATAACCCCACCGCCCAGGACAACCACATTTTGGAGTAGTCTATTATTTTTTCTATGCACAAGTTCATTTTTAACAAAAGTGAGATCATATTGTATATGTTATTTTTAGGCTTCATTTTAATTATAAAAATAATAAAATCATATTACAGAAAAATAAAGAGGAGAAATTACCCATAATCCCTTACCATCTAATATAAAAACTGTTAATGTATTTTAGTATACTTCCTTCTCATTTTTTTCAACTTACATCCATACTTTTAACCCAAGTGGGATCTTACTGATAATGCACTTTTCAAATTATGAATCTGTGTTAATCGTAAGAAAATAATACAATCATGTTGCAGAAAATAAAGGAAAAGAAAAATATCACCCATAATCCCACTACTCAATTATAATTACTTAATATTTTGGTGTATTTGCTTTCAATATTTTTTCTGTGTTCATATAATTTTACCAAAAATGGGGACATACTGTTTTATGGAGTTTATTAACTATAAATATATATGGAAAAAGGGGGGAAATCCTCATAATCCTACCACCCCATTGGCACTGTTATCATTTTGATGTTTTCCTGAACATTGCTTTATATAAATATTCATACATGGCTGGAAGCATAGTGAGTATTTAATTTTGTATCCTTTGTGCCCTTTGCAACTTGGCATCATACTTATGCAACTTTGTACCTAGCATTTTTAATGTAATATGTTGTTATGAACATTTTCCCATGAATAAAAGTTTTTGAAATCAGAATTTTATTATTAACTATTTTTTTTAGTGTCAAGGTACCAAGGTAGACACACTCTCTTAACGTGAACATTTAGACTGCTTTTTGCCTTCACTGTTATAAACAATTCTCCCAACATTCTTGAACAAAAAACGCGTGTGCTTTTAAACTTTTTTCTACATGCATATTGAATATATGTTTCTGGAGACCACTCTGTAAGTTTATAGGCTGCCCTGTAAAAAGTGGTCATCTTTAATTGGTCCCAGATTTACTCCTGTCATATAGCTCAGGCAGCCCTTGATTCTAGAGGGTGGGATTTTGAGAACAAATTTTCATGTTCTTCTCCCTCCCCTTCCTGAGTTTACAAGCCTCCTTCATCCCCTTTCAGTCTGATTTTTAAATTAATCAATCAGCAAGAATTACTGAACCCTAAGTGTTTGAGCTGAGGCAGGGAGAAGAGGCAAAAGGAAAAGAATCAGAAGGCCCAGTATAATAACAGTATCTATTGGCCACTTACTACAATGCCGGAGGAAGAGGGGACAGGGGACCATCAACCAGACTAAACCTTTCGTTTTGATTGTTACAACCCGGAGTAGGTACCGTTGTTATCCCCATTTAACAGAAGGGAAAACTGAGACCCAAAGAATGAAGCTGCACAGTTAGCAAATGACAGAATAGGAATTTAAACCCAGATCCTGACTGACCCCTGAACCTGCATTAGAGACATCCTCCTTTTTCCCCCGCGCCTGCCTCCCCCATCTTGCCCCACCACCACCACCACCACCACCCGGGCTTCAGAGATTACCGATGAGGGTAAAGACTTGGCAAACAACCTGGCCGGGACTCCAATGCCCAGCCACGTGGCTGTGGGAACTTGGGCAATTCTTCGAGACTGTTTCACCGTTGGTAAACCCTACCTCACAGGGCTGTCCTTGGAATTGAATGAGATGATAGATAGGAACACGGCAGGCCCAATACTGGCGCACAGAAGGTTCTTGATGGGTGACCATCCCTGTCCTCCCCCTAGCTTCGCAAGCTCGCGATCTAGTTGCCAAGTTGGAGATAAGAGTTCAGTGGAGAGCTCTGAACTCTGCTGGAGCCGACTGGGAAGTCAGTGATGGGGCATATTTGCCAAAAAATACAAATGTCTCCTTTGCTCCCTCTCTGTCTCTGAAACTAACCTCCTTTCCCATCTCCCCCAAAAGGAAAGGGGTGGCTTTTGTGCTCCAAGGCTAAGTGCTTGAAGCCCCTCTCTTTCGTGTTCCTTAGGAGGTGGGCAGTGGAGACGACAGGAAGTCACCAGTGGGAAGGCCCTTTCTGGCATGTGGGCACAGAGAAATGCGGCGGAGGGCGCTCCTTTTTCTGCCCTTCAATGGTCCGGATGGGGGAGGGGGCTGGCTGTTGAGCAACTGCTCCGGAGACACTCCAGAAGCCGAGATGAACATATGCCTCTTTCTAACAATTGGCCTGGGAACCATCCAATAGATGGAGGGCGGATCCGCACTTCCCGGATCCGGAGTCTGCAGCGGAGCCTCTGCCACGGTTTCCAGACCCGCTCCCGCGGGCTGACTGGGAGGGCAGATCAGGGGTCCAAATTAGCAACATACAACTCGAAAGCCTAGAGCCGCTTCTTCTCCAACACTTGGTTTTCACAGTAACTTTTTCTCCCCCCCCAGGCAGTCACCAAGAGGACTCGACGGTGTATTTCACACGCAAACTCAGTAGGGCTTTAGGGTCCCAAAAGATCCTGCCTTTTATCAGAGGGAAACCGGGCGGGGCTCACAATCTTTAAGCATAGTGAGAAAGTGCAGGGATGATGTGTGGGCTGTGGTTGCTACCGGGGTTCGTGTTGGGGCAGAGTAGGAGGAATGAATGGAGACGTACAAGGCAGCTTTAGGGGCTGGGGAGGGCTTTACCTGGCATCCCGGGCACTCGCCCCAGCTCTCTTCAGATGCCAAGGAAGGGCCTTGATCCACCCCGCCATTTGCTCCCCATCTTTATGTCAGTAAACCGGTCAGTCCATCAACAGGCAGAACTTTGTTAGAAAAGCAAATGCAGGGCACTTGGGGCTACTAAAAAAAAAAAAAACAACAAAAAAAAAACCTTCAGGTCTTCAAATCCAATTAAGAAGACAGAACACATACATAGTGAAAATGACTTCATGACATTCCCTCCCCTTTTTTCTTAACATTAGGACCTTTTCTTAAAGAGCATGTTTTATAAACAGTGTAAACTGAGTAGCTGTTGCTGAAAGGCAGCAAAAAAGGGAGGAGGCGTTAATAGAGGGGTAATTCTGGTGGCCTTCTTGAAGGTGTAAAGTGAGAATTTTTTGGCTACAAAGAACACTAATTGAGATGAGGGAGAAAAACCAGACCTCTTTCCACTAAGGATGTGTAAGATAACATGCCAACCCAAGAAAGATGTACTCCCAATGCAAAATGTTATTCTTGCTAGATGGGAATGATTATATAATCATCATAAAATAACCTGGCATCGTGGAAAGGCAAGGAAGGCTCTACGAACCCTGGTGCAAGCTCTTCATACCCCGTTGCCCGTTCTTGGCTTTTCGGAGAGCCTGGTGAACTGCACCTGGCCCCACGGTCCGGGAGAATAGAACTTCTCGCTTCGCATCCTGCCAGCTTCCTTCCATTCTGGACCACCGCAGGACAGAAACCCTCGAACCCAACACCAGCTCAGGACTTCGAGGGAAGCCACCACTGCCATATAGGCCCGCCATGCGGCTCTGCTCAGAATCTGGCGACTTTAAGGGGAAAGGAACCTCCAGGCTTGGCCCTTCAAGGAGGGAGATGGTGCAGCCCAAAGAGGACAGATGGGCTCCAAGAAAGCCCCGCAAAAAACTAAGACCATGCCCCTCCAGCCCCGTCCCGCGTGCGCCTCTGGCCTCCGGGTCATTCCCTGAGTCCACAGCTCTCCTCCCAGCCCCCTGAATCCCGCTTTGACCACCAGCTAGATTTAGGTCAGAAAACAGACACTAACATCTCTCCCTCGCCTCAGTGAAATTACTAAGTGGAATTTATTGGGCAAGTCCATGCAGGTCGGTGGGGAGAGCCCGTGTCCCAAGTCCGGGCCCCTGACAGCTGTAGAAGCCCAGGCATTGGTCAGAGCCCTGGCCGAGGGGTGCTCATGGCCTGGGCTCACTAGTCCCACCCCGGGAGCCGTGGCCGGTCCCCAAGGCTGCTGGACCGGCGGGGCCGGGCGGACTCCGTTCCCCAGCCGGCCCTTCGCTTTCACACGATCCGCGGTGACTGCACCAGCTCGAGCGCCTTTAAAGGGCCACACACGCCAGCCGCTGCTATAAAAATGTTCCTGGCAGCACAGCTGCAGAAGGGGCACCACTGAGCTGCCGAGAGGAGGCTCGCTCTGCCCGGCTGCCCTCTCGCAGCCTGCCGGCTAGGGGCCGTTCCCGGTGAGGAGGAAGAGGGCAAAGGAAGGCACAGCACCAGCTTGGGGCCTCCGTGAGTATCCAGTTCAGATTTTGCCACCAACTCGCCCACGAGCCAGGACATGTGCTAATAATGCCCTAAGCCGGTGATAAAGACGTGGAAATTGGGAGGAGGAAAAAAAGGGGGGAAACGGGGTCTGTCCTTCCTGGGATTCCTAGCCGAGGCCAGTCTGCTGCCGTGTGCGTGTGTGTCAGGGCTCTCCGGGCGGCAATGGGAGCTTGAGAGCCGGGTCCCCCGCGCCGGGAGGGGAGCGCTGTGGCCGCTACCGCCACCGCCCCGGAGTCCGGCGCC